GATCCCCAGTACAAAAAAAAAAAAAAAAGAAAGAAAGAAAAGAAATAATGTACATAAATTGCCTGGTACGTAATCATATAATCAGTGCCCAGTTAAAATTCATAGATATCCAGATTGAGGAGTTAACAGAAACCGCTGTTTACTTACTTGCATTCATGAGTTGTTCAAAACACGTGTGCTGCACATTTCCAGAGGGAGCCAGGTACTGACAGGTTCTCAGCAAGGATGCCCAGGAGTTAAACGGTTAACGTGGGTCCCAAAGACCATTCCAGGGATGGCCCTTCACACCAGGCCCAGAGTGGACCAAGGATGGGGTTTGGGGCAGAATGAGGCAGGGCCGCTGCAGGGCAGTCTGCTGAAGAGGCTTGCAACTCTGTCTGGCTCACTTGAACTTTTAGAGCCTGGCACCGGCCAGTGTACCGCTGCACACAGTAGGACTGAACACTGACAGCTGGGCAGTGAGTGCCATCTGTGAAGTCAGACACCTCCAGGCCTCAGCTCAGCACTCCCAAAATGGGGCCAGGCAGCTTCTCTAAAATCCAGACCAGAAGTGGGCCAGGAATTTAGCTCAGCAGCACCACACCTGCCTCACAAGGGCAAGGTCCTGAGTTTGATCCCCCGGTACCCCCACTCCCACAAAAAAGAAAAGAAACCTAAATCCAGACCAGAAGTAAGATGAGAAAGCACCTCAAGGCGTGGTACTGCTGAATCCCAGGGCAATCCTCCGTGGCTGTAAGAGCAAGGGTGCAGTAGGACCAGCACCACGCTACAGTGCTGGGTAAAAAGGTCAGCCTGCAAAATCTGTCTGTGCTCTGCTACTAACTCTGTTCTACAAACATGAAGGTGGGAATGCAGACTCCCTGAAAGCATGCACAGGGGAGGTAGGAGTGGGTGCTTCTGGGGCAGGGCCTTGTGGCTGAGACAGGTAGTAGAGGCTTGCTCTAGGATATACACTTGTTAGCACCGTTAGAATGCTCTACTTTAAATAAAGCAGTAATAAATCTCTGGCCAATGGCTTATCACTAGGGGCGGGTGTGGCTAGTTCCTTCCAGGTCTGGGGCTAGGCGGCCTTTGAACCGTAGAGAAGCAAAAATGTCTTCCACCAGAGATGTCTGGAGGGAGGGGAGAAGACCCATTTCAGCAGCCTCCTCTCAAAACCGCAACCCAGCTAAAGCATGCATCCATACATCACAGCGGGTGGAAAGGCCTGCTCAGTGAAAGGCCGCACGCGCCAGAACTCAATTAAAACTTAATCCAGACAGCTGGCACAGCGTGAGGACACGTGTGGTCGCCAGGCGCAGGAAGCCTGGAGGGATCAGCTGAAGCCAACAGAATGAGGCACGGGGTCCCTGGAGGCCCCACAGGGTTTATGCTGATCGGCTGGAGTTGAGGACTCAATTTAGGCAACTAAAACCCGTTTATCGTGTGTGGCTGGGGAACGGCCCATAAAGGCTCATTTATCTGGTTGTAAACAAGCTAGATGAGCTGACTCTCACAAATGCATTATTCAGCAGAAATTAGAAGTTATTTCAGCTGTTACGGGGAGGTAATGAAAAGCAGTGAAAGCACCACCCTGGCCTGCTACTGGAATATAATTTGTAATTTTTACTTATTTATTTCAAGAGCTAAGTAATAACCAGCTGGGTAAGTCTTAGCGGGAATACTGTAGAGTGGAGCGAGAAATGAAGTTGGGCAGGGTCTGGACCAATTATCCAGAAAACAAAGTACCCTGCGTGGCCTCCAGCTTCCCATTCCCAGCCCGAGACTCCCGCCCTACTGCAGCCTCCCCCTCCCTCCCCTCATTTCAATTCCTCCTCCCCCATCCCTTCTCCTCTGAGCCGGGAGCACAGCAGACATCAACCTCAGCTCTAAATTGCACTGTTTTCGTCACGCTCATTCCCAGAAGAGACCATTCCTCACTCTTGCTCCTAGCCAGCTCTGAGGAGAAAGGTCACCGGACAGTGAATTTTTATTCCTCAGTTGCTAAGGAAATGTGGACCTGTTTCACCTTCCTAGAACCTTGGCTTGTTTGCATAATGAAGAGGAGACCAACAGTGTCCCACGGGTGGTTGTGAGGTGTAAATGAGACGAGGAGATGAAGCACCTGGGGCGTCTCAGGAGTTTACCGGTGTCTGCAGGGCGGGCAGCGTTCCCCATGGAGTCCAGCCTGTGCCTGAGCGGCTTGGCCTGGTGTCAGGAGGGGGCGGGGGAACTCGGCTTCCTAGATCCAGCCACCCCCTTGTTTCCCAGTAGAACCATGGACTTTGATAAGACTCACAAGGATCAAACTGTCCACACCACCACTGTGATCTGCAGGCTTCATGTTTGCAGGACACCTGCAAGTTTTACAAAGAGCAAAGACTGTCATTTGATATTCTCAGCATTGTTTGGGATCACCTGAAAGGATGGACTTAGCCTGGCCTCCAAGAACAAAGAACCAAATTGGGCACCTTTGCAACAGAAGTTTTTCCTCACTGTCTTCGAGGTGAGAAGTCCAAGATCAAGGTGCCAGCAGGATAGTTTCCTGGGAGGCCTCTCTGGGGCTCCTAGATAGGGAGCCTCCTCTACCCAAAGCCTTCACATGTGCGACTGTCTTCCCTATCTATCTGTGTCCTCGTGTTTCTTCCTCCAAGGACACCAGTCACTGGTTTAGGGTCAACCCTCAGTACTCCATCTTAAGTACCTCTTTAAAGATCCTGTCTCCTAAAACAGTCACAGTCCGAATTCTCAGGGGTTGGACTCCAACATGTGAATTGGGGAGAGGACACAATTCAGACCATAACCCCCATTTTACAAAGAAACTGAGGAGGCCTGCAGAGATAGTTTCTTGCAAGGACCAATTCCAGCCAGGAGCTCATTTCCAGCCAAGACCAATCCGATATTGTTTTGATCCCTGAAACCATACTAAAAACTTCCTGCCATGCTTGTTTATAAAACTAGAGGGACTTCCCTCCCGGGTCCATGGTGGGCAGTCCATTGTGAGCACACTATCTGATGAACCAGAGCAGTCTGCAAAGGCCCTTCTCCAAGAGGAGCCGAGGCTCTCGGGGATGTGTTCCCTTTTCCTCCCTTCCTCTCCCTCTTTTAATTTGGAACGAACTGTCAGAAAAGATGATTGATCCTTACCCAAACAGGTCTGACTGCAACTAACTGCCGTAACTAGGACACGCAAAGCTGGGGTGGCTTCCTGCTCTTCAGACAGCTCAAGACTGAGACCCGAACGTTTAATAGCTTTGCTGCCTGCTGGGGAATGCTGCAGCCTCCCTTGGGATTTCTAGTTTTCTTTTTTAATGAGTGGATCACTCAGAAAAATGTGCTGAGTAGTGGGCCCTCCAGGCAGAACATCCCTATCTGAGGAGAGTTCAGGGAGACCCTGTGGTGCACGGCTTCAGATGCCCCAGGACACTCCACCTCGGGTAGAGCACCTGCCTGCCTGGAAGCCACCTCTGCCCAAAGTGACACCTACATCAGGAGTTTCAGAGGCTGCCAGGCTGACTTCCCTTTGCCCCTAGCGCCCAGCTCCATGGGTGACTTGGAGGTGCCAGGAGTTTATTGCAGGAGGTAAGAAGTCACTGGCCATGGTGCAGTTCTACATGCCATCCACCAGGGGTTCTGGGCATGGGGTGAGGCATGTGCCTGTTAAAGCCCACCACAAAGACCTCGGAAAACATACCTACAGGCAGACAAAGTCAGGTTTGTTAGCTTTCAGAGCAAAAGAGAAGCATACTGGAAAAGTCAGGGGTGCCTCCAGAGGAGCAAATCAGGATGGCCTTGTTGGGGAGTTTGGGGCTGTGCTGTGTGTGATTTAGGCACAGTGTAAGGGAATAAGTGCTTGTCCCTGCATTTGATGCTGACAGGAAGTGAGGGCAGCCTGGCGATGGGTTCTCTTACTAACATTTTCCCAGAAGGCGAGAGGACTGGAGCAGGCGGAGAGTGGCCATCAACATGGAAGCAGCCTCATTCAGCTTTGTGTCAGCCAGACAAGGACTCTGTGCACATGTGGGCATGGTGTACCTTGCCTCACTTTCCTGCATGGTTCCAGGTGTCCCTGTCTGATTGCAGCCCACACTCTGTTCTATGGGCTCTCTGTTGGCTACTAGCCATCAAGCCATGCTTTGACTTCCTTAGGCCAAACCAGTCTTCCTCAGCCTCCCTGTCCACAGCTTGAGCAGACTGAGGAGATGGAACTGACCTGCTGGGGACCTCTCACCTCACAGGACCTGAGGTGCCATTTCGGGGCTGTGCTGTGCCTCTCCAAGGCCTCACAAGGGCTGAGCAGGGCTCACTCCGCTGTCTTCTTTTCTCCCCTCAGAGTGTATTTGGCAATTGTGGGTCTAAGCAATGAAGTGAGGTAACATAAGCCCTATTTCAAAGGATTGTGGCCTATGAAGGAGAAAGTAAGTTCCCTGCAGTTTCTCTGACACCCAGGAAGGTGCCTGGCACATTGTGCATAGGTGCTCAATAGGCAATACTCAACATGGAAGTGCTCGACAAAATGATAAATGGATAGGACATAGCTGTAATAGCTTCCTAGGGCTGCCAGTACAAAGTACCACAAATTGGGTGGCTTAAAAAAGCAGACATTTATCTTCTCATAGTCCTGGAGAACTGATGTTGCAGGGTGTGAGTGGAGCGCCAAGGGTGAATCTGCTCTGTGCTGCTCTCCTGGCTCCTGGTGACGGCTGGCTTTCCTTGGCCTGTAGATGCATCATCCCAGTCTCGGCCTTCACCCCTCTTCCTGTCTGCATTCAGATTTCCCTCTTCTCGCAGGACATCATTCGCCTTATAGGAAAGTCCACCCTAATGATCCGTCCTAACAGTTCCATCCGCAAAGATCTGATTCCCAGAGGAGATCACATTCACTGGCACAGTGCTGGGGTTAGGCCTTGAACATATTTTTTGAGTGCTACACAATTCTACCCATAACCGTAGCTATTATTTTTCACCTTGTAATCCTGATTCCCAATATTTTGTCCTGTTCCTTCAAATGCCACTCAAAACAGTTCCAGAAGTACCAGTATTTTTGCTCCTAACCCACTTCCTTTGCCACTTGAAATGAGATCCCTGTCAAGCCACAGCGGGAAGTGGGGTTCAGAAAGGAAGGCTGTGGATCGGAAGGCCCTGGAGAGTCCTGCTCATACAGTGAGAACACAGTAAATATCACGAAGTTACTGCATGATCTTTGAACAAGTTGTTCCACCTCTTTGCTCAACAGTTAAATGAAAGGACTAGATCTTGCTGGCATCTCTCTGCAGACACCCAGGAAATAGGCCAGATTCCCTTTTTTGAGAGACATGCAGGTGAGACAGACACTCTTTGTAGACCCAAGGAGACCTGGTATAGCTGCCTCCCAACGGGTCTTCCTTCCAGTTGCTAGTCTGCCCTGACACAATCCTTTTCCTTCTGATCTGTAAAATCAGAGAGTAGAATTCTCAGATCTCTCAGGACTCCAGCCTTTCTGCCACTTTCCAAGTAAGGGACAAAGCCTAGAGAAAAAGTGGCCTCCCAATGAGCCCATTTCCTTGATCCTTGGTGGCTTAGTTGGTGGCTGGCCAGGGCTGGGATATTCAGAACATGGTGGCCACCTCCTTCATGCCTAAGAATCTGGTGATGGCCTAGGCCCTGACATTGATGAACAGCAATTTGTTAGCACCTACAACTGCCAGACTATATCTCAGGGGTTGCTAAATGACAGTGAAGGGAGAAATTGTCCAGACTGGAAGACACTGACAGTAAGCAAAGTCCACACTTGATCCAAGTTCACAAAACCCCAGATTAAATTAAACCAATGTGCAGCTGGAGTGCCCAACTTGGACAGTCCCCAGCATTGTGCCAGTGTGTAGCTGGTGCTAAATACCACTGAGACCTCCTTCCCCTTCTTGGACACAGGACTGTCACAGCCCCAATATCCCACCACTGCCACACTGAAAACTCTCAAGAGCAAAGGAACGGTCTGATAATTCCTGGATCTGACAAATGCCTAGCCCAATACTGGCACAAAGAGGAGTATAAGGAAGGCAGGAAGGTAAGGGAAGATGAAAGGAAGGAAACTGAGGCAGAATATAGCAGTGCCTAATGGTGTGAACTATGGAGGAGTCCAGAAGGACTGCGTGCAGATTCCGTCTTTGCCATTGACCAACCTCATGACCTCAAACAAATCTCTTAACTTCTCTGAATCTCAATGTTCTGATCTGGGAAAAATAGTCATACCTAAGGGTTGTTGTAGGAATTAAATAATTTCCTTAGAGTACCTACTATACCATCTGGCCATGTGGGAATGATTTGTGCCACTATTTGTAGTAGTTAAAACCATAATAACCACATATATTGTGCAGCCCTCCTGCCACCAAGTGCCCAGCCACATACAAAGTCCCCTGAGAAAGGAATTGTATCTGCATGGTGCTATGTAGGGATGGATCTCCAGAGCTTCACATTTTGGGGTAGCAATCTCAGGTGGCATTCAGGCCAAGTCAGAGTTCCAGGAGGGACCCCTGGAGATGGGGGAGTCCCAGGGAATGGCCTCTGAGCTGGTTATCTTGACAAGTGGCACCGCCTGCTGGCTGCTCCCAGAACTGCCTTGCATAGCCAGTGTCCTTGTACTGGCCTGACTCCCTGCAAAATGTTATCTGTGTCAAGTCCTGGATTCCTATAATCACCTCACTGCCAGAGACAGCATGATCATGGGAGGCTGCTCTGGAGTCACTCTGTTCGTGTCAGAATTTCCACAGCAGCTCCCAATTTCCCAAGGCTTATGAATCCACCATAAAATGTCACTCTGCCCCAAGACTACACAAATTAGCTAGCACATGTGTCCCTATTCTCTGCTGTTCTATTTGTGACAGAGGAAATCCACCCCCCCACACACACATACACACGCACATGCACAGTTTCAAAAGGAACTTTCATTTGCATTTTGTGCTGTTGTGGTTTCTGTCAGGGCTTGAGTTTGGGGTCAAGGGTTCTGCGTTCCTCTCTCAGTTCACCAAACACTCTGCCCAGATTCCATGTCACTCCCACCTTCAGCTTCCTCTTCTGAAAAGGAAGGAGATAATTATACCTGCCATCTTAGTGACATCCCCTTTGAAGCTTAAAGGAAAATAACAGGAGTGGGGAAAGGCTTTGTCACCGTAGGAGATTAGGCTATAACTCCTCAGCTCTGTGTGTAATTAGTGTCACATGTAAGCACAGAATGTTTAGTGCTGGTGGCATGTGTTAGCCCTGCCTCTTTCTTTACCAGCAGCCTCAAAGTGTGACATTTATCATGGTAGCTAGTATGGGGCTAGCACAAAATTCACCTTATTCTGCTCATTTTTTCTGTTCATGAGGCACTGAAAGTGGGTCTACGATGTGTGCCATTAAGAACTTAAACATTAAAGAATCAAAATTCAGCCAGGCATGGTGGCACATGGCCTATAATCCTAGCACTTTGGGAGGCTGAAGCAGGAGGACCACAAGTTGAAGCTCAGCCTAGGCAATTTAGCAACACCCTATCTCGAAATTTTTATAAAAGGGTGAGGGGAGAGCTGGGAATGTAGCCCAGAGTGAAAGCTCTGCGTTCAATTTTCAGAAACAAGAAAAAGTCAAAATCCTCAGGCGCTAGGCCCTGGGAGTTGAGGAGGAGGATGAGTGCGGTCTGCGCACAGGTGGTGCTGGTTGCAGCAGATGTCAGTCAGCTGCAGGAGCAGCAGGCTCATGAGGGTTAGTTGTAAAAGCAACTTTGGCTTGTTAGGAACCTGTCCTTAGACCCTTACACCCTGCTCACTGGTAGGCAGAGATGCCCCTTACCCTGGATGAAAACAAAAGCATGAGCAGCCCCATGATTTTCTGGCCCCTAGTAGGTAACTAAAAATTCCACACGCACTTTAAATCCCAAGACACAGTCTCAATGCAGTGACTACAACACTGTGACCCTCTACTCTTCAACACAGCAAGCTCTCAGCTTCTTTCTTTCTACAAATGGGAGGGGCCCAGGATCTGGAGGGTGAGGTCAGCTGACTCTTGTTCTTCTCCCCCACCCCACTGCCTGCTGCCATATTTAACGCAGCCGAGGTCTGGCAGGAAGAAAGGACCGGATGGAAAAGTTGTCCCCTAACAGATATAAGTTGGTGGCACAGTGTCCAGAACTGGCTAAAGTTTAAACTGGATGTTTTCTCTTCAGGATGCTTTCTGGATTCTTTGAAAACTTCCCACCTGAGACATCTGCATGAACCAGCCCCTCCCTCAGCTTTTGCCCTGGCAGGAGGCAGAGGCCCCAGGTCTGCCTGTCAGGTGCTGTACCCTCCCAGGACGGGTGGCCTGACATTTCCTTTCTTTATCTTGTGATCAGGAGGGGAAGTTTCCTCTGCCTTGATTCTTATCTGCCATGACCTCCAAGAGCCCTCTCTCTGTACTCTGAAACTCTCCCATAAAATCCCTGCTTTGGGGCAGCCTAGAAGCCTAAAGAGGAGCCTACAGAGGTGGCAGCAGATTAGGCCCTGCTTCCTGCACTAACTCCCAGTGGAAGAGAGGAACCACCTTGTTGGCCTCCCACTGGTGCCTACAGAGGAGCCCGTAGGTGCCAGCAGAGTAGGCCCTGCTTCCTGCACTAACTCCCAGTGGAAGAAAGGAACCACCTTGTTGGCCTCCCACTGGTGCCTCTCCACCCAACTAGGAGAGAGTACACTGCACTGAGTGTGGGGTGCAGGCCAGGGGTTCACCTCTTCTTTACACGGCCCATTTCCCACGTGCCCTCAGGATGAGGGCTTATGCCGTGCTAGCCTGAGCTGGTGTCTCCAGAGAGCAACTTTCCAGATAACGTGACTCCCGGTTTAAGCCAACTTTCTCATCTACAGCCCAACCAAAGAAACAACAATTTGTCTACGTGCTGGCAAAAGCCCAGCTATGCTGTCTCTGTGCCCGTGAGCGTCCATGCTGGCATCGGATGGGGGTTCCCAAGGGCAGCCCTGGCTGCAGTTGCGGCATCCTCCCGATCCCCTGGATCGGCCCATTCCACGTGCCCTCAGGATGAGGGCTTATGCCGTGCTAGCCTGAGCTGGTGTCTCCAGAGAGCAACTTTCCAGATAAGGTGACTCCCGGTTTAAGCCAACTTTCTCATCTACACCCCAACCAAAGAAACAACAATTTGTCTAAATGCTGGCAAAAGCCCAGCTATGCTGTCTCTGTGCCCGTGAGCGTCCATGCTGGCATCGGATGGGGGTTCCCAAGGACAGCCCTGGCTGCAGTTGCGGCGTCCTCCCGATCCCTTGGCTTTTCACCCACTGTCCACAGAACACCACTGCACAGCAGCTCAGGGAAGCCGGCACATTCCCCTCTGCTGGGTCTGCCGAGGTCCTCACAGCCTCCCAAAGAGAAAGCAAAAGAGGGTAATAGTCCTTCTTACAGAGATGAGAAAATAGGTACCTACCTAGTAGACAGCAGAGCCAAGACTTAAACCTTGGTTCTCAACCCAAATCCAGTACTTGGATCCCAGCAGCCCCTCTGTGTCGCTGGTATTCGCACAGACTGAATGAACATTCCCTGTGCTTCCCAGTCCTCTACGCTGGGAACCCTGCAACAGAGTGGGAAAGCAAGACACGGAGCGGGGCACAAGCAAAAGGAAATCTCAGGCCAAGTCCCGGCTTCAGCCTCAGTGTCACCCTGATCTCAAGCAAGTGCTGGCTGTGGGAGTCAGAATTTGGGGCACACAAAAATGGTTAAAAAAAACAAACAAGAAAATCTGTCGAAGTGCCACAATACCTGCTCTGACAGCCATGCCCGATGTGGGAAAGCAGTGCTTATAACGTGGTTTTTAAGTCTCAACAAGCCAAAACATATTTCTGCATGGCATAAATTCCTCTGACATGAGCAAGTGCCCAGGAAACAAATCTTATCGGGGGCAAATTGTGGGTGACTGTTACGCAGGCCACCTTTGTACACAGAACAGCCATCCTGGTGAGCCAGGACAATGCATCCCTGTGACCTGCCCACTGCCCACGCCTCTGCAACCCCCACCCTGCGCTCCCTTTGGCACCCTGGAGTCCGTGAGAATCTCACTCTGTTTCCACTGCTGCTGCTTTAGGGGGCCCTCCCTCCACACACCCTGCCTACTGCCTCCTGCCCATCTCCTTTTCCTACACCCCTGTTCCAGCAGTGCTCTCAGTATACCAAGGCACGCTGCTAGTTTTCTTTGTTGCAGTTGATTTTGCTATGTCACCCCATTTTTTTCTCTTAATTATAAAATATTTTGACATGTAGAGAGGGTACCTAGTGCCCAGCATTGTTGACTTTTCATGTTATATGCTACAGACTTTATTTTATCCTGAATTCAAAGATTGTCAATACAATAGAAAACGCTTTGTGCTAACGGTATACCAAGGCACTCTGCTAGTTTTCATTGTTGCAGTTGATTTTGCTATGTCACCCCATTTTTTTCTTCTTAATTATAAAATATTTTGACATGTAGAGAGGGTACCTAGTGCCCAGCATTGTTGACTTTTCATGTTATATGCTACAGACTTTATTTTATCCTGAATTCAAAGATTGTCAATACAATAGAAAACGCTTTGTGCTATATCCTGATTCAATTCCCCTCCATAGAGGTCCCAGCTGGTCTAAAATCGGCACTTTTCATTCCCATGAGTGTTGTTCCAGTTTTACCATAAATGTATAGGATTGCTTTGTGTGATTTGAAGCTTTCTATAAAGTCTACTATGCTATGTATTAATCAGAGTTCTCCAGAGAAACAGAACCAGTAGAATGTGTGTGTTCACATTTCAAGGGAGGAAGATATTTATTTTAAGGAACTGGTTCACACAATTATGGTGGCCAGAAGCCCAAGATCAAAGTGTCAGTCGGGTGGGAGGCCGGGACAAAGCTGGTGCAGTTCTCTCTGAAAGCCGTCTGCTGGCAGAATTCCAGTTTTCCTTGGGAACCTCAGTCTCTGCTCCAGTCCAGACTACACCTGATGGGATGGGATGAGGCCCACTCACATGATGGAGGGCAGTCTGCTTTACTCAAAACCCACTGGTGCAGATGTTAATCTCGTGCAAAAACACCCTCCGAGAAGCATCCAGAAATGTCTGGCCACCATAGCCCAGTCAGGTTGCCATATGAGATTGACCGTCCCATACTATTTCTTTCTGCAACTTGCTTTCTTTATCCTTTCTGTTTCTGGTGTTCATCCACATTAATAAAAGGTAGTGTTCTGTTGTGTACACACCATCAGGTAATGAATTTTTCTGTGGATAGGGTTATGTAGTTTCCACTTTTCTCTACCTCAAGTAGAAGGAGGCACAAACTTCCTTTCTCATGCACTTATGTAAGAGATTCTCTAGCTCCAAAGTGGGCCAGCCTCCACTTCATAAATTGAGTTTTATTAGAGCACAGTCCTGCCCACTGGCCTCCTAACTGTTTGGGGCTGCTTTCACATTGAAGAGATAGAGTTGTGTAGCTGCAACAGAGATGTATGGCCCACAAGTCCTAAAATATTCACTGTCGGGCCCTTGTTAGAAAGGTTTCTAACCCTGTGCTAGGTCGGTACGTAGTAGAACCCACAGTTTTTATATGACTTGCCCAGTTACCCTCCCAAATGACTACACAACTCTTCCCTCCCAGGAACAAAGTGGGGGAACACTGTGCTTTTTGTATTCTCATCTCCCTTGGTCTCGTTTGCCTTTAAAAATTTTGCCAAGCTGATGATTAAAAATTGGTCTCTTGGGCCAGGGATTTAGCTCAGTGGTGCCACCACCTGCCTCACAAGTGCAAGAACCCAAGTACCAAAAGAAAAAAGAAAAAAATTGGTTTCTTATTGTTTCACATATTTGGATATTTGGCTCTTTAAGTATACATTTATTCATTGATCTAACAGGTATCGACTAAGGGATAAGTATGCACCAGCTAGAACTGATGTAAAGATGCCCCATTTACAAGAGAAGAATTGGAGCTATTTACTATGAGAATCACAATTTAAGCATGGTGGCAAGCCAAGGTGGCTAAGCATGAATTTTGAGGCTGGGCCTGGAGGTGGAGTGCTGGGGAAAATAATCAAATGGCTGGCATTATTCTACAGACCTAAGGATGCACCATTTGGAAGTAAAACAACAGTTTGGCTATCTGCCCATAGCTCTTACAGCCAGGGGCACCTACATCGTAATTCTTGGCAGAAAAGACCTATATTTCTCAGAGGCATCAGTGCAGTAGTTTAGTAATTAAGCTGTTTTTTTGTCTTCCCTTTTGGCCTTAGAAAATAAAACATCTCTGATTATGAGAGAGACAGAATGTGTGAGAAAAAACAGTATAACTGGAACAACAAAAGAGGAAGGGAGGTGGCCCGTGGCTGAGCTAGATCTGAGTTTGTCAGCCAGGAAGGCAGCAAACAATGTCTGTGACTGATAACTTGGAGCAGTTGGAAAGATGGAGAAATGGGGACAGGCTCTGGGCAGAAGAGAAGCCACAAAAGCTGGGAGCAGGATGTAGGGAAGGGAAGGGGCCCGGCAGGGAAATGTTCCTCTTTATAGGTCTTCAGGACAGTTGAGTTTTTAAAACCAAGTGTATGTCTCACTTTGATAACTTTTAAATTAAAATAGAAGAACAACAAGGTAAGCAAGAACTACCAAAATATTTGCATGTATTCCAAAGGAGTGCACAAAGGTCCTTGAGATGGGGTAGAGGACGGTTGGTATAGAGATTTTAAAAGTCAAACAGGAGATCTCAATGGAAAGGGGGAGGTGTTGTTACTCCAGTCTGTATCTATCTTAATATATTGCTAAATATTTATTTTAAATTCCCCGGAATAAAAAGTTTAAAAAAAAAATGAAATGGAGTATGAGGTGTGAAGTCAGACAGATGTGGGTTAAGTTCTAGATGAGCCGCTTCATAATGGGAGCAAGTGACTTATCCTCTCTGGGCCTCAGTTTCCTCATCTGTACAATGGGAAATAACAGATGTGGGCCCATTTTGTGCAACCACTCACAGCAGGTGCAGGGATTCAACGACGTCCGACCTTCACAGGGCTTACTGTGCAGAGTATGTAGTAATTCCTCTAGAGAGTTTGGGTTTGATTTGTTGGGTTTCTACTTTAGATTTTATACAGAAACTTTGGCCCTAAAAGTTTGTTCTGCTGCTGAGGCATCTTCTACTCAGTTCTGTGTCTTCAATTAAATTCTACCTTACAATTGCGGTAGTTCTGCATTAATTTTCTTTCTTTAGGGACCCCGTTGCATCCATTCAGCTAACTTTTATTGCGCAGCTCTACGCCAGGCACTGAACTGGGTGCAAGAGGGGCAGAAATGAGATTGTTCCTGACCCAAGGACACAAAGGCCAATGGTAGATGGAGACAGAAAGGGATCATGATACAATGGAGCATTGATGACTGCAGGCTGAGCTATATCCGCAGGGGCTGTGGGCAGCACGGAGGTTTCCCGGGTAACCGGTGCTGGGTTGCGCAGGAGGGACAGGTGCTAGTCTGGCAAAGGAAAGCAGGAAGGCACGGCAGGGGCTGAGGTCAGGACGACACGCAGAGGTGCCACCATGAGTCAAGTTCTGGAAGCTGAAAGCTGAGCCTATGCAGAAAATTGCTTTAGTTCGCGGCAGGGGAATGATGAAGAGAGAAAATTCAAGTCAAGACCTCAGCCTCAATTGCACAGGGCTTTGAAAACCAGGTCATAAAGAACTCACGGGACCCTGGGGACATGAAAGGATTTATTTAGGAGCACACTTCTGAATAACATGTGACTTCAGATCTGTGTCTTATATGTACATTCCAACAGGAAGGGAGCTGGGGGCTGCAAAGCAGAGAGAGAGAGAGAGAGAGGTCATAGGCAAGCCACCTGGCTGTCCAAAGTGTCACCCCAGGATCTTGGTAGGCCTTGTACTCAAAACTTAAATTTAGTTGGGACATCTGGAGAAAATGGAAAGTTGGCTCCTAATAAGCTGTCCTGACTTATTCACCCAGGACTGGGCTGGAAATATGCAGTGCTAGGTAAACCTCTTCAGTGCCCAGCACAGGTGCTTTGCTTCCAAGGTGACTGGAGATGGGATGCATGGTGAGCCCCAAACCAAAACTTGGAGGGGTACTGAAGCTTCCAGAGAGTGCGAGGCTTACAGAATTCTGTCCCCATTGTGACAGAGGGCAACTCCTAGGGACCAACATGTTCCTGTTTGCCTGACAATGGCAAAAGACACTGTCCAACAGTTCTGCCTCCTCCCACCCAGGATCTTGATCCCTTCTCCAAGGGCCAGAGCACAACATGGTCAAAGTCAAGGGAGCCCCAGCCTTAGCCCACAGGTCTTGCTCCTTGGACCCAGGCATTCGCTGAGGGCAGAAACCAGGTCTTCTCTACTGTGGTTCTCGAAAAAGAGGCACCACTACTGCTGAATCCTTAATTATACCCACTGTACCAGACACTCTGCTAGTGTTTAGAATAACAGACAAAAAGGAAGTTTTACAAGCCACTCAACAAACAAGAACTAATAATAATTACAAGCCACAGTAAATGGTTTAAGGATCGCTAACAAGACAGAGAGGGGCGGAGCAAAGGAAGCTCTACTTTGGCTAAGGTGATCAGGATGAGGGAGTTACTCACGCAGAAAAGCTTGGCAGATGCTAGGGCCTTCAAGCAGGAAAGAGACAACTGTGATCTAGAAAGCCCAAAACCCAGCATGGCTCTCCGGAGGCCTGTGAGTAATGGGAAGGTAGACAAGCATTTCAGAAGTCTGGGTTTGTTCCTAGTGTAAGAGACACCTCTGACAAGTTGGGTTAGACTTAATCACAGTGAC